GACACAAAGCCTGCGGAGTACGAGAATGAAGACAATTATGAGTACTTTATATGCTGATCATTATGAACTAAGTATTTATTTAACATCTACTGCCAGGATTAGTTTGCTAGAGACATCATGCGTGAAGCGTGTAATTAAACACATGTCAGTAGCTAAGTGCAGTATGTAGTTGATATATGAAAGGGAAATGTAGCCTATGTCAAAAACAGGTAAAACTGCCGGTGTTCTGACAAAACGTCCTACTTTATCAAAACATCCTACCGTAGTGCTAATCGATAACCCTAACCCTAACTCTTACCCTAACCCTAACCCTAAGCCCCCCAAAACCCCTAAAACTCTTACCTTAACCCTAACCCCTAAAACCTAACCCTATTCCCAAGACGGTGGAACTACACATGCGCAGAAAGGCTCGATAGCACGTCTCGATAGGTAGGATGTTTTGTCAGAGCACCGGCTTATGACCCCCAACTCCTTCGCCACCTGCATTAAGGGTAGAAGTAAATATTCCCATATTTGGTCGCATTCGGCTCAATTGGGAGTTATAAACACAATCTGCCAGCCGGGCTGAGTCTGAAGAGGTGTTTCGCCCCAAAATGGCACTTTCATCCGTCTACCGTTGCCACAAAGAACGGGTATATAATAATAATAATAATAATGACATCAATGATGATGATTATTATTTTCATCACGATATAGCCTATCTGGTAAGGAAAAACATATACAAGAAAAAAAGTTCCTATTTAATTCTAGTTATTCTAGTTTTTCACTTGTCATTTTTACTTAAATTGTCAAAATATTGTACAGATTAGCAGGGTTGCCAGCTCTCACGCAGCTGGCGTGACACGCTTTCACGCTTTCTCGATCACGTAGAAAATCTTACGGCAAATCTATATCAGTCCAGGATAAACCTAAAATTAGCTACATCAAAAGTACCGGGGTAGTTTGCAAAACTGACTATTTACAGGGTAATTAAACTTTTACAAACATATAAATTCGTGTTCATGTGCGTACAGATTATCTCTAATTGAAAATTTCACTCCAGCCAACTGACCTGCAGAGCCTCCTTTTTATAACAATATGCCACAGCAACTCACAATAATTCCTACATAAGAGGTTCCAAAATACTATTTATGCATTGATATATATCGCCATCTTATGGTGACTTTCATTTACATTAATTAAAGAAATTACACGCACGCAGAATATGTTTGCGCGCATACATAACTGCGTGTAAGCGCACACTCATACGAATATTTTATGAGATGGATATTGAAAATCGAGATTTTGAGGTGTTGTTAGGTTACTATAGTAGGCCTACAGATGCGCAGACCGCACAACTGTTGCATTAAGAAGTCACTTGGATCCTAAGCATAAGTTTAAATGGGGCAAAGAGATCGTATTTAACTATAACTCACGTTTCAAAGAACTAAATATTAATGGGAATATTGGGAGAAATTAACACATGGTAGCGCCTTTGAAATGCCATTATTTTTAGAAAATACTGGGAAAAATAAGGCGCTAATTAGAATAATCGCAATATACTCTGAATAACCAAGAACAAATGGCAAGGATAACACTGAGAGCAGAAAAAACACAAACGCCTACGTTTTACAGTCCACAGATTTTTCAAAAATCGCATATAGCTCATTGTACGGCTCTTCTATGATCAGGAACCATGCAGTTCAGTTACCTTTACATATACAGTACTGGGCGTTGCATAATGATGAACTGAGTATAGGCAAAACGGCGCACATCACGTTTTCAGCGATTCGCTAGACTCAAGTAATACTTCAGGTTTTCCATGTTTGTGTAAGAGAAAAGAGTATACTGCAGCGTATTCCACAGGTTGGTAAGAAGATTTTATTTCAAACATGTTATGCATTGTATGGCACATAAGACAATACGTCAGTCATCAATTAGGGATTCCCGTGGTTAAAATACTGCATGGATCCACTCAATGTGCGCCTGTTCAAACAGTTGCCACAGAATCAAACAGAATGTAAGTTAAACCTTCTACAATGATACCCCCTGATTGATGTTCTTTTACTGCTACAACTGCAGGGATCCCTGCTTTCAGAGAACTATCATGTGATGATGACCAACAGCAACACACATTTATGATAATAAAAATTATAATAAGCAAACAAAATATTAGTGTTAATAGTGAAAAAATACAAATGATCAAGTTCAGCTGTGTAGGAAAAGGCAAAAATAAAAAGCCTATAAATACTATGACAAACATTCTGTTGACTTCACAATACTGATTTTCAGCACTTCGGTCGGTAAGCAACATTTTTAGTTTCTTATTAACTACGATTAAGCTCCGTCCTTAGTTCTGTCATAACACATTATCTACTCGCCATAAAATATAGCCTTTCTCGAATGGGGAAACTTAGTAAGTTTCCAAAGCCAAAACATGACCTCAGTAACTGTAATTTCCGCTTGGAAAACAACTTCAATGACACTGAGATCACGGGCGCTACACAGCATCAAGACTGACATGCACTTTCTGCCTTGTAAACTGAAGCAAAATCACACATAAATGGTTATGGAAAGACAAAACACACCAAGAAGAAAGTTTTGGTTATAAATTAAAACATTAATATGCACTCCTATCCTGCAAACAAATAATAAAAAAAAACATTTCACACACAAAACACTGGATAATACTTGGTGGGCATGTGCCTTCCGTTCTTGCAACCGTACCAGATGTATCTATAGCTTCTAGTCAAAATGAAAGCCAGCATACTTGTAAACATACATTTTGGATACAGAAAAAAACCATTAAATCGTGAATAAAGGACGGATAGGAAGGGAGGAAATATATTTAATGGAGACACAGCTTGGTACGATCAATCCAATTTCTACTATGCAATTTTAGAGAGCACACAACAGCAAACTAAAAATATCGACCGTGAAAATAGAAAACAGGAAAAACGGGGGGAAAAATGCACTTTTAACATTCATTTAATTATAATTAAACTACACTGATTGATTCAAGTTACACCCACTGTTCATGTGTCTTTTCTAATGACCCGTATTACAATCAGCCAGCATCGCTTTACCAGAAGGTCTGTAAGGCTGTTAAAGGTAATTAACTCCACAATAAAAAGGACCTCCCTGTTCTGGACACTAGAAAGTTATTCACATGCATTTAATCCTTCTCATCCTCTCATTCATAAAGTTAAAATTGTAAGGTAAAAAAAAAAAAAAAAAATAGAAAAAACAATACCTTTTAAAAACTAATCTGTATAAAAACATTTTAGAGAGTAAAATTATTCTGGTAATGTTGACAGATCTGCCAACATTTTATAATAAAAAAATAGTCTGCAAATACTGTAAACATAATCAATGCTACTGAGAATTAATTAAAAAAAAAAAAAACGGTTTTGGGGTTAAGTGAAACGCTGACTTTCCTCTCTGCAGAAAAAAAACAAGCTGATTTAAAATAAACACTCAAGAGTAAAGTGCAAGGTGACACGTTATAGTATTGTTTTTTTTTTTTTTTACTTTTTAATTACACAGAAACAGATGTAGTGTCTGCATTTAAGAATGTATTAATCTATTTAAATTGTATAAAAGGTTCTATCTTAATATAGTATAATCCTTACTTTTATTATAAAGAAAAAACATTTTTCATCAAAATGTCTTTTTACAATTATTCAGCTAGATTATACCCTAAAACCCATTGTCAGCATTTGAATCAACACCATAAGAGGTACTTAAAGTAAATTGATTATATGCATAGTTTCCATTCATGAAAAAAGGAGAAACAGATTACTTAGTGTAAGTTTGGTCAGTAAATACATAGATCCTTGAGTTTCCTCCTGAAATGTACACAATTTCTCAAGTTTTTATTGCCAAAAAAGGGCACCCGTTATGAATCAAACCGTGCAAAGTTTTTATATAAATAAACCAATAACAACCTTGCAGTACATTCAACCAATAAAAACTCAGCATACAATTCGACCAATAGAAATTTATGTCCAGCAAGTTAAGTGTTACTTCGTTAAGGCTCTGCTTTTCAATTCTGATATCACAGTAATTGAATTTACAAAACAAAACATTGACATAGAAAATATATATTTACATGGTGATAAGTTCTTAATGTAAAAGTAACCTGCAGTAAACTGGATGAGTATTGCGCTACGATTGAGATTAATGGAGATCCATTTCATAGCAGAGGCTTGAGGACAGAGCGCAGCGAGCGGCCCTCTCTGGTGAGCTCTCTAGTGTAGCACATGCACGGTAGGGGCACAGCCTCCTCGCGCCGCTCCACAGTGTTGAACTTGCACTCTTTCAGGTGGTCGGCCATGCTGGCGATGTTGGCGAACTTCCACTCATCCACGGTGCCAAAGGCTGTGCTAAACTGCCACACCTGGGGTAGGGGGGCAGGACAACCAAAGGCATCAGTGATTGGTCATAGCTCCCCATGTCATAACAGTTGAGGAGACCTGCAGACCATCTTATTTAAACTGTGTTTGCAGTTCAGTCCAAAATTCCTAATTTCTTACAAACTTTGCAATTGCATCAAAGTAGCATCATTTCACAAAACCAGATAGGTATTAACAATTTCCAAAGACTTTTATTAAGATCTTACGATATAAATGAGAAGTTCGCAAACCTTGTCCTTTATCTGCCACGATGACGACCCATTAGGCAGGAGAGTCTTCTCCCACAGCAGTACGACCATCCCACGCACCATCAGGAGGCTGGCACAGACGTCCCTCATCAGGTGCGACACCCTGGAGAACTGGCACAGGCTAAAGCCATCCAGGAAGGAGGCGATGTGCTGCAGAACCTCAAAGGGAAGGCTACTCAGACCGTCCCACTGCGACGCAAATGCACACATCCTGTCTGAGAGGGGTCTGGCGGCCGGTGTAGGAACGCTGGGCTGAACCCCAAAGGACCTCAGGTGGCGGTCGTGGATGATCCGGAAACCCTGCACAGACGGGCAGAACCGCCTCTGGGAGTAGGTGCAGCCATAGCAGGCTAGGGGACAGCGATGCTCCATCCAGCCATTGAGGCCTGCATGAATGTCCCCATGGACGTTTTTGAAGTGGGAAGAGAACTCGTCTCGGCGGAAGAGCTGGCCGCACACGAAGGTAAACATGGAGCGCTGCTTGGTCTGGTAGCGAGCCACGCACTCGAGGACCAGGTCCAGCCGGAGAGTGTGAAAGGGGCTTGGGTTGGAGAGCTGTGGGTTGGCGTGGTCGCAGGCGGGAGCCGATGCTATATCACCCACCATGGTCTTGGTCGCCAATATGGCGGAAGGGAAGGAGAAGGTCTGAGTGCCCAAGTCGATGCGGCAGCCGTCAACGAATCGGCTGTCTGAGATCCCTCGGCCTCCAGGGGAGTCTCCCAGGCAGAAGAGCAAGGCCGCGGTAATGACGTCAATTCCGTGGAGACCCATTGGGTCGTCGGTCACTTCCAGATCAGAGGTATCCACCGATTTGTCTTCCTTCTTCACACGGAAGGGGCAGGCATCGGTGAAGAAAGCCCGGCGACCGTTTAGCGTGCATATGCTCATGCCCCTGAGCATCTGCAGGTTATGCATCTTGCGCGCCAACCATCTGTCCTCAAAGACAACAGGTAGGTGCTGCAGAGCATCTCCATGCACCAGGTCAGGAAACTCAATTGGAAGTGGTAGCGCCAGTGGTAGCACCAGTGCTGGAGGCTGGGAACCTGGCAGCTCCTGGGCTTCGAAAGATATGGAATGGTAAGGCACCTCCAGGTCATTTTCAGGCTGACCGATTTCGAAAGAGTCCATCTCAGGCTGTCTGAACTCAGCCGCATCCAAGTCCATCTCATCCCAACCAGGCTTGATCTGTTCACCCCATACAGGGTGGAAACCATTGCGTGGCAGTCTCCTGTCAAACCCCGTCATTCCATCCTCCTCCAACCTATCCTCTAAAACTTCTACTAATCCATTCTGTTCCATCCACTTGTTCCCATCACTCAAGGCACCTACTGGAAATTCACAATCAGTTCCCCCTACTGCTCCAAGCTCACAATCAGACTCTGTGTCACACTCCTGCCTATCTGCATACTCCAGGTCCAAGTCTTCCTCTCTGCTTCCCTCGCTGTGTGCCTCAGTTGTCCCTGACTTTTTCTCCGTTATGTTTCCATTGACTAAGTCCATTTCCTTGGTTGTGTTACTGAGGATATCTAAAGCTGCCACTAAACTTCTGCTGGTTTCTACTGTAGCTTGATAGAGCTCACCGTAAGACTCCTCGTCTATACCGATGATTCCATTAGCTATTTTAGCGTCTGGAAGTGTTGACACTACAGGTACTTCCTCACCCAAGCTAGCCCTTTTGTCGACATTTTTGGACGCCATGGATGCTACTTTGAGCGACTCCAACAGCATCCGTTGATCTTGCAGGGCCAAAGCCATGTCAAGCTGCTCCACCACGTCGATATCCTTGCTCAGGTTCTCATAGGACTTGCGGTCGGCGTAGCTGACGGGCCAGCGATTCCACTCCATGGTGCAACACACCACGCTCGCCGGGCACACTTTGAGGTGGGCGGCGATTTTGTGCCGGGGGACGGTGAAGGGACACCCGAAGTCACTGTTCACACATGGCACTCTTTCACGAGGACAGAGCAGGCGGTGCTCTCCAGCTTTACACGAGTGGAAGACCGCGCCGCACACCAGGGAGCAACCGACCAGGTCGCAGGAAACTCCAGGCTCCGGCCTGATCATGCACCTCCGGTTTACGCAGTTTGCGCAGTGCCTGTGCTGTTCCTCCATTTTAGGCGTCACTAGCTCTGTGAGAAAATCAAGAGGAGAAATCTGAGAGAAAAGTCTGGAAGAAAAACTTACTGCACTACTACTAACATATATAAAACAGTTTCAGTCACAATATAGGCCTACTGATAGTGGTTTGTAGTTTGTATACCAACTCATATCCGTTAGAGGATTTATGTACTTGATGTATTTGGAAAACACAGCTTGGCTTCCTGTCTTTCACATGTGTGATATGTTGACAAATTTCTAAGCATCATCGCCAGAGATACTTCAGATTGCAGAGACGAACACGAGGTGCAGAATTTGCAAAAGTGACTCCTAGTAAACATCATAACGGCTTCATTAAGAAATATGTCCTCTTCTGAAATATGCCACCTTTTTTTAGACATTGGACGTTTTGCAACTTGGGGCTTATGAACACGGCAGGAAGATTAAGTATCCCCATAACAGCCGCTATCAAGTGTCACCCAATATGACCAGTTTATTGGCTATCCATTTATAAAATATACACCCCATGATATTATGCAATACTGTTTTGCACCAACACAAATGTGTTTCTTACTTGGAATTGGGGCAGTTCTATGCCATGTAAAGCTGCTTATTTCATCCACTTAAAAGGTTTTAAATAACAGCTCTGTGTGGTCACTGAAGAAAAAGACTAATCAAAATCATTAAACATAACAAAATACATATTAACTTTCATTAATCCCCAAGCATCTTGCATATTCTTACTAGTTGTATTACAACACATATTTGTTTGCTAATCATGTTTTTGTAAATCTCAATTAAAATGTACAAATTAAATCATACCTTTCCATCTTTCTCTAAAATGGTAAATAACGTTCAATTTTTGCCTAAACTCTAATATTGGGTAGATTTCAATCCAACTGAATGTTCTGTCAGTGTGACAGAGGACATAATATCACCGTGGCAAGGAACAGACAAGGTTAGTGTGGTCTCCACCGCAGTGTATATTAATAATGTTTTGTGTTACATATATAGCCAATGTGTGATGCCTTCAACAAATCATTCTCTTATGATACAATGTGATATATTCATGCGTATACCGTCAGTTCAGGAAATACAACAAAAGGTAAACAGCCCTTTCCAAACCCCCCATACCACCTGCGAAATCTCATTACATGCCAAAAAAAACATAAATTAAGGAAAAAAAATACACAAAATCACTCAGCTTTTTCCACATTTAAAGCAGAGAAGGACAAACAACACTTTTGCCGGAATGCGGGTAGATATTTACCGGTTGCCCTTATTGTATTAGCGGTATTACAAACACATTTCAGGCTCAAGTTCATATTCTGATCCACGAGCCTAACAGGGTACCACACAAAGGCATCTGAGACATATACTTTCCAGATAGTTTCTTCCTGACCCTGAAGATGAGGCCTGCATACTACAGGATGTGTATTACACTCCTAGCTTTGCTGTAGGCCTGCGTATCTGCTTGGTTCACTTCTGAACTATAGCCCTGGATTAACTGGTCCTATTATTAGTTATTTACCTTAAGTATTTATAGCTTTGCATTCTCCACAGCACCAACGCCTCAGAACACATCTGAGAAATGCACTATTTGCACAATACCTACCACATACAGTATTTGTTGAACACACACCAACATAAAACAATGATTTTAAAAAAGCAATTATTTACTACACATCTATAGCTACAGAAAAAAAAACATTTGATATTAAATGTACGACTAGCAAAGGAGGAAGATCATTCCGAACAACGCAAAGCCTTCATCAAGACATCCTTGGTAGTTACTTGTTTTGAAACAAATCCAGTAGAGGTCTATTTTTAGCATGGCGGGGGCTGTTTAGAAACCTCTTGTTATTCTCCGAGAGGTCACCCACAGGTTTGCAGGCTTCTAAACAGCACTGGCTGACACTTGACAGACACTCCACCAGTAAGACGAAATCATAAACACAATTTAAAGGCACAATACATAGTTTCATGTTTAAGGACTCAAAATAATAAGGACTTAAAATATCTAGAAAATCAAATTATTTAATGTCGGGAATTATTAACATTGTGTCAATTACAAAGGGCTCATTAAAAAAGTAACCTGTACATCTGATACAATGTTGCTAAAAATCACATTGCAGCGGCTATCATCATAGTAACTTTAACTTTTAAATTAAATATGCTTTGCAATGTACTGGTCATTTAAAGAAGCGTCAAGATATGTTAAGGGACAAAGCTCATCCCAACATTAAAGTAGCTTAGTCCGGTGTTGGTTTATGCCAGTAGACTTGGTTTTACTTTGGCAGTTACATCAGTGGCATGATGATGAGCGGATGCTGGTTTCCTAAAACTACAACAAATGGTCAAATTATAATTCTGCATTTAACTGCCAAATCCCTACCGTTAATCGTTCCTTGTTTTGTGCTTTCTTCAAATACACGGGATATTTTTTCCTGCCCCTGTAGGCCAATGTTTATCCGTAGCAACTTGATTAAATACGAAGTTCGAGTCCCTATAATTACTGAATTGCGTTTCATGTAAACACACTGAATTGCATATAAAACGCATATCCGGGTTTGTTAGTGTTTCCGTATAAACAGACTCGCTATTTTCTTAAATGAAGGACATAAAAGTGTTTTTAAAACAGTTTATGCATGTGTGTGTTTTAATTACTGTCTTGGAAACAAAACGAGAGAGGATGCGTTGGCAGATTTTAGAGAAAAGCGCCATAGGGTAATTCAATATGTATTCTATGTTGAAACTAATGTTTTGCACAGCATGTCCACGTCAGATAATGAGTTTAAGGGCAAAATGTGCCTGTGCATTCAAGGAAACCGGCTCTTGGAAATCAGACCTGCTCCAGGCTCTAATTGACAGGGACAGAGATAGCAGGGGGAAGCCCGTCCTGATGCAACTATTGCATGCTGTGCAGACACCGCCCTGGCTGCGGGTGACCAACTACACACACATACACAAAAAAACACTGATTTCATGTTTTGTAAACTTTGATACAAAAGGTAAAACAAGCAGCACTAAAACGTACTTTTTCTTACATTTTTAGTGGAAGCTAGCAGAGGTAACAAAAGGCCGGATTCATGCCAGGATGGATAACTGGCGAACTGGCAACCTTAGGGTTTTGTTAAAACCGGAAAGTGTGCAGCACACAACCGGCGATTTTGCTTGTAAATGCTAAGTGTGCGGTGCGATGTTGACTTCACTGAATATTTAGCGATTAGGCTAACAAAGTTTGCAGACGTGCTCCGCGGACTGGGCATTTCCCGGCCGGGATCCGCATAACAAACTCCGGCCTTCCGCGACAATGCATGAAGGCAGCCCGAAATACGGATCGCACGTCTGCAATTCTCCAGAAACGGTAAAACGTAATGAATACATAGATCCTGTGCTTATAGTCCGTCGGTTAGTCAGCCATACCAATTTCTTACGCTGTCACTAAAGTTAGGACCCTTCATATCCCGGTACAGTATGGAAACTAACAAACTAATCTCCGACCCCATACATACGAACAAAATCAAACTCGAAACTCACTTACCGAGTCAATACGATCAACCAGATCTTTGCTGTAACTCCACTGTTATTTGCTATTATTATTACTACATATACTTATCAGTTATATGCTACTTTACTTTGTTTCAAAGCTAGCACTTTCGCCGATCTATACTTAGTGCGTGTTGTTCACTGTCTGGGACGCCAGTGTGTGCCGTCATTACGCACAGGGTTACCAGACTGATCTCCAGATTGAGAAACAAAGCAGCATTTATTCATTCATTTTCATTCTTTGTATAAAAAAGTAATCTACAATTACATTAATTGTCTATAGACTATACACGGCAAATAATAATAAATAATGAATAATAAGTATTATTATTATTAAGTTAATTTCTGTACCTTAATAGAAGTGGTGTATTCGGTTCCCCAGACACTGCGGAACCCTAACTTTTAATGTATCTTTGAAAGTTTGTCCTTGGAGACATCTCGAGCGTTCCCACAAGATTAATAAATGCAGACAAGCGGCTGGATACATCGACATCTCAATGGGAACATTTTCTACATTAAGGAACACTATGTTCTGATTCGTCATTACATTAAGCAGTTAATGTACTTATGTATTTTCATTTTTGTTCTCTTGGTACTAATTACAGTATTTTTCGATGAATGTAACAACGTATTTGTATGTGAGATGTATACAGTGCAGTCCTTCAAAATGTCAATTTTCGTATTTTTTAAATTAAACAAAACATCCATAGTGTGAATTAAGGACTCAACCGTAAATCTGGTGACAGAAATATTTTTTATTACATAATGACATTTTTGAAACACCAAATTTAAACCTGATTAAATATCCGTGAATTTTTATTGCTTTATTTTTTCAAGAAAAAGGTTCCACCACTTATCGCTAGTCCCTTACACCTTTATTTTAATTTTCCATTCCATGTTTTTTTTTTTTTTTTTGAGATCTAAAATAAAATAAAACACACTCTGTCCGGTAAAATCTGATCTATAAAATATATATTGATTTCATAAAAATATTTGAAAAAAGAAAAATAACTTGAAAAGCGAAAGAAAACTAGGTAACAAACCTTTACATACTACTCCAGTTTTAATCCTAAACATCATCCCAGCCTTGTTAATTAGTCTGATTAATATAATCCACTGTACAGAAATGCGCAAAGGGCAACAAGGTTCATAATCTGGAAATTTTGTCTGGCGCAGAGAATATGTATGACTCTATAGGAGCTTGTGTGGGCCGGTTAAACGTCAGGAAGCCACCTCAGAGAGGTGATGGACGTTAGACAAGGTAAGCTGTGCTTCCTGTGTGGGATAGGACCACCTGGTCCGGAGCCAAAGCTTCCCGAAGACCGCCGTGACGAGGAGCAGGATAAACAGCAGACCCCCCAGGACAAAGGTCTCCACAGGCGGTAGGCCACCAGCATCTGTAGTATAGAGGGGGATACAGGGAGGGGTTGTCCGGCCCGTTGTATTAGCCTGCATGGTGATTAGGGGGACAAGTCATCAGTTAGATGCTTTCTGCTTAATAAAGGCACTTACTGAAGCTTGCCTTGCCCCTGTTGTCCATCAGCCTTCTGATTGGTCCGTAAGACACCGTATGGGACATTGTGAGATCCCTCCTTGTCCGGGCCATCGCACCTTCCCCAGAACAGTTCTGTTGAAATCAAAATTTGGGGTTGCATGTTTTTTTTAAGTGTACACATCAAGATTTTAATTTATTCAATTCGTATCCTAAATTACATCTTAATTAATATAATTGCAATTAAAATATCCATCTTTCTAGAGGTGGTAAACTTAATCTCTATTTATGAAGAATATCTCTTTAAAAACCTTCCTACTTTAATTACTCATTATTATGTTCACTGACAAAAATTTTGAAATACTGCATTTTTTTTTTTCGAGTAACACAGCTTGCATTTGCTCTAGGTTATCATCTGCGAAACAAACAAAACATGATAAATTAGCCCTGATCCTTATCCAACCCATTCAGTTTTTGAATGGCACAGTTAATTTGCCTAATTAGCTCCGCCAAGCCTGATTAAATGAGATTTCAGCTGCTACAAAAGCCAGAACTTTGACATCGGCCTTCCAGGAACAAGCTTTAAAGGAACAAGCTTCCAGGAACCAGCTTTGAACAGCAAGTCACATCCCCGATAACAAGTAACTGCAGCCATGGTAACAATGTCATATTACTGCTCCTCTTTCAAATAAACTTCAAAGCTGTATTGAATAAGAGAAGAAAGAAAACAGGAGAAATGCAGGCTATCCATCCTGCTAGGCTTCATCGGGCACTCACAGGCTGGCAGGATCCGGCTGTGTTGTGGCAGATCTGCACGTTACAGTGCAGGAAGACGTCCTTGTACGCGTTGCCCACAAACTTGAACATCTGGATGTGGAAGAGGGCCTCTGATCCTCGACCGTTCCTCAGGACTGTCAGAGTCTGCTCGTTTGCAACCACGGGGCAGCTGGGAAATGGAGCGGCGGACGGTGCTTTCATCCCTTGTTATCCCTCTTATTTTTTTGTTCTTTTTTGTTCCTCCTGCTCTGACCCTTTGTGAAATTCCCCCAAAGCACACCTCGAGGGCCCCCCCCCCACCCCCCAGTACTGAGGTTTGAGGGCCTAGCCCTTAGAAACGCCTCTGTGTGCTTGGAGACCATCTATCAGAGTTTTACTGCGCTGGGGTGTTTCACAGCAACACAGACGAACATTTTCCAGGGGTTCCGTTCCCCCCGCTATGACATCAACAGGCCCTTAATTATGATTTTTCTTACAGCCACATGCTTCATTATTAGATAATTAACTGAAAAACAGTTTGATAAACACCAGAGATCACTGTTAATGTACCACTCTTTTATACAGAAAAATATCACTTAGATACTTATAATTAACACAAAGGCACAAACTATTACGGATTTTTTTTCCGTAATGGACTCATTAGGAACTAATTAGAATATATTCATATCGACAATTAAAAATAACAGTAGCGTGACTCGTATTTCAAACCCGTAACGGGTGAAGGTATCCTAGCTACACGGTTGCTAACAGAAATAAATACTTCTGTGTTTGTAAGGCGAGCACAGCTGTCAGGATGCAGCGTAAACGGCTCTGGGCTCGGCGTCAGCGGACAGGGCTGTTTTGTTATTGATTCTCTGTGCGGCTCCCCACTTGTCGTTTGCATTCCTCCGGCATCATTTTACCCGTCTGAATTTTGACATACTGTTGTGAGCGTGTGGTGTGTGGTCATGTGACAAAACAAAGTCTTGCTTAGTGTATGTGGCACTTGGCAAGGATACAGGAAGAGTAGGAGGACAGACTTACTTAACCTAAATTATAAAACTGGCGCTTCTGTGCGTGGATTTTTATACTCAAATGATGAATAAACTTCAGGCCTGTTTAGTTGGTGCACACTACTACTCATAAAAATATGGCACTTCATTTATATTATGTATTCAATTCAATGCAACATTATTTTTTATTGACAACAAAACTCCTGTTTCTCTCATTATTTTTTTCAGATATTGTTTATAAATAGCTTGGTGGTTCTATTAAGGTGCTGTTGACACCACTAGGGTTTGGTGTTCGAATCCCACCTCTGTTGCAACTGCATGTTCTCTTTATTGTTGTTGCATTGGTTTCCTCTGGGTGTTCCAGGTCCTTCCCACACACCATAAAGCATAAACCTACTGGCATCCATCCCAGCCTTGTGCCTGATGCTATCTGGGACAGACTCCAGTCCCCCTTGCTCAGCTGCAGTGTTTACCACCACTCAAACCACACACTTACATGGCGCCCCCTTTTGGCCACAAATTGTCACTACATCGAGGGGGTAACTTTCTGAGTGGGGCCCCAGACACAATAAATTCCCCCTGCACTCAGTGACCCTGACCTGGATGAGTGGTGGGAGACGGAGTTATGGAATCATTGATTATTTAGTGTTTTAAGCAAAAGAATGTCACGTCCCTATAATATATCAGAAAGATCAAAACATCCATTTAGTAACCATAAAGCAGGGTTATTTAACTCACGGTCCTCAAGGGCCGAGCCCTGCTGATTTTCCAGCCTTCCTTCACCTGTGAGCCAGGTGTGAAGCCTCTGACCAATCAGAATCAGTAATTATTAAACTGAAAACAAGGCCTGGATTTGCAATCGAGGGCCTGAGTTGAATAGTCCTGCCATAAAGCAATCATGGCCTTAAACTCAAAATAGAACTGTTAATTCTTATATTTCATAAGTGCAATTTGTATATCCAGTGCAATTTGTATAGTCAGTGCAATTTGTATATTGGAGTACATTGAGTTGTCAAGTGACAATGACAATAGAGATTATCTTATCTTATTCGTAAACCAGGGTGCAGTCATAATAATTACGGCTTTTAGTACGTTCTGTATTTTGTAGTGATAAGAAGGGATTCAAAGGTGACATAAATGCAGAGGAGCATTGATGTACACTGCTCAGATCATCAAGGTAGACTCATGACAGACCTGTCCTTGATGAAGATGTACTCGACGTCGCTGGACGGATCATTGGTCGGAGTAGCCCAGCATCTCTCTAACCGCAGCGTGAGATGAGCAGGTATCTGAAAGACAAACGTTTCTGTGTCGGTCACAAATCCCCGAGCCAAAACTGCTGACTTGCTTCGAATAGCACATCAAACATATTGATTTAGTGAAGGGTGAAGCTTGTGAGATAAATCCACACTGTAGAAGGTGTTTGTCGGGCATGGGGGTAGATTTGAATGTTAGACAGGGTAGAAACACATGATTCCCAGCCAGCCTGCTAGATGACACCCTCAGCCACTGAGCTTATCACCAACTACGCAGAGGGTTAGAGGTTCAGCAATTTCAGTCCCATCCTCGGCAGAGTAGCCACATCTCTGTTGTGTCCTCCAACAAGGCCCTTTACCCCCAGGAATGTTCCAGAAGAGCCGAATAAAAGGCTGTCCCTGAGCTTGGCCCTCAAGGTTCGCTTTTAACTGTATATATATATGTGTGTGTGTGTCCCAACAGGGAGCATGATGGGATATGCAAATATGCAGAAACTCCAATGTACCTGTACTTGCGCAAATGGCAAGCATCATGATCTTGGCGTTGGGCTAGGGGGGAAGGTCCAGCAGAACACGGCGGGTTTTCAGAATGGCCAAGAACTCAACCCCGCTGCCTCTTGCTTACCATGAAGACCTTCACGTATATGATGTCCTCCAGTGTCAGGAAAGGAACGGTGGTCCACTTGTCCTCGAAGTTCTCATCTTTGTACAGCATCAGGGCCACAGAAAAGTTCCCATCTTCTGTGCTCAGAGTGATTGTCCTGAAGAGACAGGCGTTACATTACACTATTAGGGGGATAAACACCTTGGGTGTTTCTCAATATGCATAGTTGACCGTACTTGTGTTCTCGTGTACCCATTTTATGTTGTCTTCCATTGCCGATGACCCGTTCCAATACTCAAGAAACTAGCACAGAGAACAGTAAAAAATCCCCAGGTATTGTTTTTGCCCTGCTCCAGATATCAAAGATGCATCGGTTGCATCCTCATCAAACGAGACAAATCCCATTATTCATTGCGCCCAAACTTCATTCTTGGGAGGCAAGTTAGCAATACCACAAGTACGATGTTGGCGTCCTTATTGAGAAACACTCTCCAACACTACTGACAACTTCAAAGCCTTCGGTCTTGTCATTTATCTGCTTCATTTTTATTCATAACTATTTGATTAACAGCTAATTAGCTAAACCTGAGCCTGGGCTATCGTTACGCAACAGGCCATCCTTACGTAACATCGGGGATGTGTAATGAATGTGTAATGTCTGGCTCACCTGATGTCCACTTTGACCATGTTTTCCCCATTGGGCTGCTGGACCACGTAATTTATGGGATAGCGGCAGCCAAAGGTGATGTTGACGTAGCTTCTCGTGATGATATCTGAGTCGTTATTGCGGATGGTGTTAATGAACATGATGTGCATGTTGTCCGAAACCTAAGAAAAAGCCTCATTTCAGATTTCATATCTGCAATAATATGCAGGCCTGTTTAGCATCCAACACACAGGACATTAAACGAGGTAAATGATGACAGTAAATGCTAAACTTTAGACCAAACCTAGACAAAAACTGGCACGAGTTCCATATCCGGCCCGCAGGGATATTTTTATGGTGCAAATAATTAATAAATAAATAAATAAAAATATAACAAGTCTACTATAGTAGCTTTTATGTTAGATGAAATTAATCATTTAAAAAATGCCCCTTGTAGCAGCCAATAATGTAACAACTGGCAATAACATAACTACCAATAACATAGTAATTTTTAGCACATTAATGGTAGTTATTACATTATTGGCTGCTACATAATAACCAGCCAACAATGTAATAACTTATTATATTATGCACAAACAGTTATTACGTTTTTGTTTCAGAATGTGTATTACATTATTGGTAATTATTACATTATCAACTTACATTAAGAATGGAAAAATGCTGACATGGTGAAGCTTGGTGCTGGCCCTCCACAGACCATAACTGCCTCAGCTTGCTCTAGACAGATCTAAGAAACACCATCCAGCCTGGGAGAAGCTTTAATGTGATTTGAAGCTGGTGCTTTATGCTCTTGCCCAATACAAATCTGCTATTTTATTTCTGGCATTTAAGAACAATTCATTCACGTGAGCGCTGCAGCGAAAACCCAGGGAACAAAAGTGTTAAATCAGCATCGCATCCGGCCCCATGTGGGGCAAAAGGTCGTCTGGCTGCTGGGAAGGATATATTACCCTCAGCTGGCAAGACATATTTTATTGCCCCCCCCTCCCCACCCACCCACCAAGTGAAAATATAAACACCCAAAGTGTGCAGTGAGGTGTCTACACAAACCACTGCGTCAAGCCAGCGAAGGAGAAATTATAATCATGCTGTTTATAAGCTCACATAAAGGGTGAGGTTTTTTAATTGGTTTATATACCTCAGGAGATTAACTGTCTAAAAGGAAGAAAAATACATTTAACTTAACTTTATCATGTTTATTAATTTAGAGCTCTACAATTATGGAATCTCTAACCGTTGAATTAAAAATGTAGTCAGGTGAAGGTTAACTGAAGAGTTTATACAAGTGTTCTACACTATGCTTTCCTCCCATAGTTTAGCCCATAGTATGTGTGTTATATTACATTGTGGGGACATTTGATATGAACCTGTTGATATAAACCTGTTTCACAAGGGGTAACTCCGTTTTACAAAAACCTGACTGCAATCAAAAAACTAAAAATGCCAAAAGTGTTAGGTTACTTATGGTTAAGGTTGTCATAGTTGGGATTAGGGTTTTCCCCCATAGAAATAAATGGATGGTCCCCATAAAGATATGAATGCAGATGTGTGTGTGTGTGTGTGTGTGTACTGGCATCCCACCCATGGTGTTCCACTACCTCGTGTCCTGTTGTTCTGGGATAGGCTCCAGGGTTACTGCAGTCCTGTACTGGATAAGCGATTATGGAAAATGGATGGATGGATGTTCTTCACACATTACTTGAACAACTTGTGCCTAAGAAATGACTGCAATGACTTGATTATTGATTCCCCCTCTGCAGTTCTATCAGTGTATTAAATTAAGCAATTATTATGTCTTACTGGAACAGTGGGATACAGACTGTATACCTTCTTCATTAATACATAGTTTTACCTTGTCCCTCTCAGCAAAATCAAATTTGTCCTGCAAAGAAGGGAAAATGTACTGAGGCCACAATTAAATGTAGCTGGAGTAAAATATTTATGATGGATCTTTCCAATATACTTTTATTGCTGCAAAATCCCCAAAGCAGGCATCTCTAAATTGCATTGCTTCAGAAACACAGGCACACAATATTGTGATATAACATCACAGACAAGTAAACTCCAGCTTATGAAAGCAAAGTAGCTCTTTCTGTTTATTAGAACACATTTTGGTAAATGTACAACAAGGAATCTGGTGTGAGGATTCATTACACAGTTAACATCTGAATATCCAGGGAAAATGGCAAGAATTCTTTCACCGCACTCCTTGTCAAAATAGAAGACTGACATCTTTAGCAAACAAAACACAAAGATAGGACAGATAGGGCAGAGTAACAGTGAAAGGGATGGTTGAAGCTGTGTTTTTTCTTTCTTGCAACCTTTAATTCAAACTGAGATCATTTCCTTTGTTTCCGGTTATGTGAAAAACCTTGTAAAAGACTACCTGAGAGCTAGATTTTCTCTGGCACAAAACAACTTTAATTTTTTTTTTTGCTGGATTTACGAGAAATGCCCTGTGCATTCTAAGCAACAGTTTCAATGATGGCTTCAAGTAGAGATTTATACCTTGGCTGGGGCCCGCAGTCTAAGGGGTAGGGGGTGGGGGGTCACTGTGTGAGCTGGAACTGAAATAAAAGGGGACTACAAAGTGGGACACCCAAGAACGGTTACCCCTATTGAGTACCCCTGAATCACGGCTATAATTTCCATATAAATCCAGCTAATTTAGTGCTGTGAGCCATCTACCCACCCCCGCCTCCCCCACTCCACTGCTTTGAAAAGAGTGAAAGCGGAGACCTGGACGCTCTTATTTATGGTTGGTGAAAAATATGCTCTTTGTCATCAACCTGAAAACCATGGCGTTCCTCATGGAGAAACAGCTCTTATGGTGGGTGGGGAGGGGGGAGGGAGGTCACATGACCTCATCTGCATTTCATGAAACAGGGAATCTAGAACAAGTGGGTGCGCATATCATGAGAAGAAACCCCCCCCAGCCAAGTTAATTAGTGGCATAAAAAGGTCGAGTGCATATCTGATTTGGGGGGGCGTGTTTTTTTCTTATCCTCAGCGCCACAGGTGTATATATTTATTTTTTTCAGTAATATCTCTGTATTTTGATTGAGAAAGACGGTTTATTTAATCAAAATATGGGAAATATGTTGCAAACTCGGCTCTCAATTTTATGTTTCATAATTCTTCTTTCGAAACTGCGGCAAGGTAGTAAAATGAGATCCGCTAATAAGGAGTCGATCCACTTTTCCTAGTAATTTTCATGGTACGTCTCTGCATACGCCTTGCCTTACCGTGACGGTGCCACAGTCCGACAGGTTCGTCTTGACTCTGAACACGTAATTGTCGTTGATCTCGACACCGCGGCATTCTGGGTCATTCAGGTGCAGATCCCAGACCTGCGTGACATCGGCACATACGTCAGAAAGCTGGGAAGTACGGGATCCCAGGTCAGACCAGACAACATTCAGAGCAGTAATAGATATAACTCACAGAAACTGGGGGCACTTTGCTGAGGAAGAAGACGCTGGGTATGATCAGCTCCATCTGGTCATTCGCACAATTTACCGTCTCATTAAGCCCTAGGGGATAAGATTACATATTTCGGCAAGATTTATTTTCCTTTTAAACACAAAAGACACATAAATAATACAAGAATTAAAAAAGAAAATGAGGAGAAAATAATTTTATATTTCTAGGCTTGATATATATTTTAATGACTATATTAAATGTACAGCTTCTATGATACATTTTTATCTATATTTTAATACTAAACATAGATTCAAAGTTTATGTTTTTTTTAACAATTATTGCTAGAAATAAAAAAATATTTTTTGTTAAAACTTCAACACTGGCATCCAATCAGTGTTGAAGTTTTAACAAAAAAACCCAAATTTAAAAAAAAATGTTTTAAGTTTGTCATAATTAATAAAGCAATAAAATGTTTCAATCCTTAATTTTATTATAATGCTGTTGGCCATGAAGCACCAACTTCTCGCTGGAGAAAACGCACTTCACTGGCAGAAACCTGACTTCTCGCTGACCCTACAGCTCTCAGTATCTGGAGCAACTTGCCATTATTCAAATTTTATTGCCGATTCCCGGAGATTGCCTAGAAACAAGTCGGGTCAAACGTCTTATTTTTCTAGCAGGAGTCCAGCCTGGAGAGTAGCAGCGGGAGAGATGTTTGCATCGGTTTTGAATATAAACAAAGTTCCAAAAAAAAAAAAAAAACAAAAAACAAATATCGCACGTGCTGTGAAAGCGTCACGCTGGTGGACCCAACTTTTGAAGACATCAGAAAACACCAGTCACAATAACGGCTCGTAAAAGACACAGAACGTGGAGCACGACCAAGGCAGACACTTACCATCTTCGGGCTCTTGGTACACCGAGGATTCCGCGGCCGTCATGGTGAGCAGACACCACACGGTGAGCGAGATGGCAGTTACTCCCTTCGAAGACATCCCTTTGGTGGTTTCGGGAGACAGATCTCCGTCACCCTGTTCCTTCCCGACTTGACGAATCTTCGCGCCGAAGAAGCCGTCAACGCTACCCCCCCCCCCACCCACCCCTCCCTGGCAGCGACACACAGAGAGCAGTTCGACACGGACGCTACAAGGACTCTCCTTCTGGTCCTAAAACACCAGCTTGAGTGATGTCCTTGCCAACAATGAGATTCCTCACATGAATAGCGGGAGCCTAGTGAGGCCCAAGGTAACCCGAACCTACTTCACTTGGAGCGTAGAACCAGCTGCCGGTTGAGCAAACGTCCACCACCACCACCAAAAAAAAAAAAAAAAACACACGCACCCACGTACCCAGACACCTCACAACCCGTTTAACGTGCACAAAGTAGTGACAGCAAGGGGAGGCTCTGCTTCGTTTTTGTTTGCCACCCTTTGTCTACACTTTTTAAGAGATGACTGAAAGGCTTTTATATTGCCAAGACCCCCATTTCGGACCAACAAGGACCCCTGCAGTCACGTCAAGGGCAGCCCAATAACATCTCGGCCTCAGTGCTGGATTTGGTGAAAGTCTTCAGAGCAAACGCTTAACCTTTACACTCAGGGCACCTCCCCGGAATTTGTAAAGCCTGTACCCATCACACGATGCCAAAAAGACGATCGGATTGTTACTTAGAAAAAGTCCAAGTGTTTCTTATCCGTGTTCATACTCTCTTATACTTTATTTAAACCATGAGTGCAAGATAATGATTTATTCTAGAAAATTACATTCTTTAACACACTCAACCATTAATGTATTGAGAGCATCCTTTAAGCTATTTCCATATGAAGAAAAGACTTTTCTGTGGGCAGAATTCTGTGGATGGATGTATGATTATTAAGAATGTTTTACAGCCAGGCACTGGAAGTGTGGAAGTGGAAGCCAACGGTAAATTACGCTGTAAGAGCAGGAACAGAGTAAAGATATCTGGAGATCCTAACTAAACACCCAGCAACATTTTTACATGTATTTGTTTATATACAAACAGTCACTTTGTGTTTCATGTTCCCTTAAACTTCACTGTTAAGACCTGAGGCGCATTGCGCTATTCGGCAAGGAGCATTCTGGGAAGTGACATAATGACAGGCCTAGTGTTTATTGTTTTTTTTTCCCTTCTATACGAAAAGCCCTGAGTTCCAGGACTTTGTGTGCAAACCAGCGTAAACAAACAAAGGTGCTGGAGGTCAACACAAGGTAAATGGTCACATTTCTAATTCAGAAAAGAAATTAGAACATAAGAAC